GAAATTCCCTTCCAAAGGGTCGTTCGGGGTGGGTTTGCCCTCCCCGTGGGGCCGAAGACCGTTCCGCCACTCGGCGTGGGAGGAGGGAGGGAGGGGAGAGCAGGACCGGGAGGGGTGCTTCAGAAGAATCACATCTGCGGACGCCACGTGAAGGCCGTTGAAGCCGGACTTTGAATGGCGGGAAACGCCAGAGGAGTCCGGGGCATCCACGTTGACCGGGTGCCTCGTCGCGCTGGTATGTTCATCGGGCGATTCAATCACCGCGGCTGTGCCGGTATGGGACGGGATATCGTTTAATCTCGCCGTCTTGAGAGTTCGGATTCGATGCTGAAGTTTGTGTAGACAAGTGGAGGTATGGGTGTTTCTCGCGTGGCTGTCTGACCAAATAACATCGGCACAATGGGAAAGCACCAACTCCACTAGCTGCAAATGACGAATTTCAGGATCGTCGGTTATATAAAAATGTACTGTGTTTTCCATGTGAAGATATTCATACACGCAACAATATATGAAGAACAAAAAACTATATTTATATACTTTTTTTTTTTCTAAGCACTTTGTGAACAAATAAAGAAACTGTATACTAAATCTCTTGTTTGAATATGTGAGCGAAAACAATACTTGAAAATTTTCACACGGGAAAAAAACTCATGGAAAATGTTTTTTGATTTTTTTTAATGGCATCTAAAAAGCGTTTAAGGATATAAAAAACAATATGAACACTAAGAATTTACCTCTTTTTTTTACTATTGTTTGGTTGTATCTTGTACCCAAGTTGGTTAATGTGAAGAACTTCACTTGCAAAACGGCAAAATCACACAAAAAAGGTGACGAGAAATATCTAAACGCAAGGATAAAGGCAGGCAAAGGTTTCCACTAATGGGGTCCCTTACCTATAATTTTATCACAGCATTTTACATTCCCTCATGACACAAGTACATGAATGTGTACACTACCTTCAAGTGATGTCTTGTGTGTAGACAGTATTCATGGAATAATCGTGAACACGAGAAGGACTTAGTTCATAAGCCAGGAGTTCATCCAGAGGCAGGATCAACCCCCCGCATTGCCAATGAGACCCTTTGCAAAAGCTGCATGAGTAGATATTTGAATCATTTCAAAAATGGACTAGAAGGGAAGGAAGAGATCACAACAATCCATCCCTGTGCAGTATTCACACTACATAAATATGACGGGAAATTACACCCATTTTGTTACACCACTGTATTAAAGATACTAAAATGGAATACTGATGACTCCAACACTTATACACAAAAAAGGGAAGGTATGAAATGCGGCAACACGTGCTCCTCGTTGACTTTTCTAAATTTTGAGTCGTATCCAGGACCATTATCACCTCTTTTCTGTAAATGGGATCAGTCTGTAACTGTTCTTAAAGCACATACAGAAATCACGGCGTCAATATGAACTCATAATAAGAAAAATTAAAAAAAAAAGGTTGAAATGATCACTAAACAGATTAGGGAAGACGCTTTGCAAGTTGAAAGCTCAGTTTGGGCGGTCACTGCTTTCCCACTGTGTCCTTTCTTACTATACGCTTAAAGCATCCAAACTATTTCGTTGAAGTGTATTCAATGAGCATGGATGATGATTACGAAAATGATGAAATACTAATAAAACCAAACCATATTATGCACGTCTTTTATAACTTCACATAATAATTTAGCACTGAGCTTAATAAAGATTATAAAATTAATAGTATGAAAATGAAGATCATATAATGGTAAGTGTCCTGAGTATTTCACAACCAATAAAGGTTTCCTGAGTAAATATGATACGATAAAGGATAATATTTGAAAAACTGAATTGGAAAAAAGTTAAAGACACAAAGCACCTCATTTAAAAAATTTTCAATAGTTTTAGCCGAACGTTCAGTACTATTAAACTCCATTTGGTACTTCCGTTGATATTTCGTGCATTACTAATCGAACAAGGTTTTGAATAATAAGCCCCACGTCAGTATAATTCGCTAAGTGGGTTAATATCTCGCATCGAATCACATGCGAGTTGAGAGTATTGCATAAATTTTTAATATTGAGATATTCCTCCGACTGATCTCCTTTTAAAAGAGAAAAGACAATTATACTAACATCTCTATCATCGGAATGTTTATTCAATGAATCTCTAAGGGTAACCTGGTGAGGACCACCCTCGTATATCGGAAGTGGTTCTACAGAAAGCTTGCACTGTTCTTCAAGAGGTACTGCGGCGCACTTAAGATGCTCAACTAGTGCGTCTGCTGCGCCACCACATTCCAGATCATCATATGTCAAAAGAACAAGTAAAGAGCGAGTCATCTTATATATATATATATAAGTTATGATAGCTTGTTGCGGAGAAATGTTACAAATATAAATCGCTAATTGAAAGCACGAAGCCTTTAAGTAACAGAAAAAGGAAGAGAAATAAATACAATAAATTAAGTAAAATAAAAAAAGCTATAATCCAATAGTAAGCCTACGTGCCTACAACGTAGAAATTGAAAGATAGGAAAAGGATATTAAAAATATGAAAATTTAAAAAAGGCATCGAATGTGTATGTTTCCCATCGGTACAACCCTTGACGAAATTTTCATGCAGCAGATCACTTAGAAAAGGCCACCCATTCCGAAGTCATCATCCTCCTCTTCCTCCTCTGCCTGAGGTTCGGCGGCGGCGGCGGCGGCTGAGGCTGGTGCAGCCTCTGCGGCGTCCGCGGTGGCTGCACCTCCCAGCTCACCCGAGAGGACCGCCGCGCGAAGCTCCTTGCCGTTGAACTCATCAAACTCGTACTCGGTGGCGATGGAGACCATGAGAAGCGTCTTGAAGGCGTCCGCGATCATCGGGCCGATAGTCGTGGTGGTTGGGATGCCGGCGCCAAGGGACATGCACGAGATGTTGCTGATACCCTCCAGGAGATACCCCTCCACGATGTCGTCGGTGATCTTGAGTTCCTCGCGGGTGAACAACACGCCGCGATCCCACGCGGAAAGCACCTCGGCCTGGTAGAAGAACGGGCTGATGTTCAGCTTCTGCAGCAGCGTCGCCGTGGAGTTGTCGACCTTGTCGCCCACAGAGAGGACCTTCTTTTCGGACACAATCTCAACCATACCCTTGGAGATCTTCGTGGCGATGTTGAGGGCCTGGAAAAAGGAGGTTTGGGTTGGCTCCATGCCGGTGTTGCCCGCGGGCACGACCACATCACAAGGGGAGATCGCCCCGACACGCGCAGGGGCCTTCACACGGTGCTGGTCCAGCACTGCGGTGATCACCTGCACATCCTCGTTCGTAAATACAAGACCAGTGCTTCCCGTCAGGAGCTTGGACTCCTCACACTCGCCATGGAAGTTCTTGGCCTCGTCGGTGGCGTCGTCCGACAGCGCGCGCTTCTCAATAATCTTGGCCTGCAGCGTCTTCTTACCCATCAATATCTTGGCCTTGTCGCGGAGGGCGGCGCGCACATTGTGCATCTGCTGCGAGCGCACGTTATCCACCCCAACAAACAGCACCCGGCTGTACTTGTTGAGGTAGCTTACGAGGCGCTCCTCATACTCCCTCTTTGCGGCGGTGATGGAAGGCAT